AAATCATGGTATTTATGGGGTTCAGTTAGTGACAAATGGTAATCAAGCGGAATCACAACTCAACCAAGGTGATGCAACCAATAGTCAAACAGAACAAGCCACAGGCCATGCTCATGTATAAGTTGAAATAGCTCTAATATAAGAAAAGCATCCAATGCAAAAGAATCAACCAAAAAAGAGAAAGAAGTTGACATTGATAAGGAAGAAGTAAGGATGAACAGGAAGAGAAAAAATAGAAAGAAGTTGACACTGATAAGGAAGAAGTAAGGATGAACAGGAAGAGAATGATCCTATTCAATCTTAGATATTTCTCAACCAAGCAGAAGCTCCATACAATATCAACACTCTTGTACACCAAAATTCATCATCACGTGATAATGATGATCATTCAATGGAAAATGAGACATATAAGATTGACCCTACTGAGGCAATTGATGATGATGGGGATAAGAATGACAATGAAGAATATATTGATGGGTATATTGGCAAAGATGTGAAAGGAAAAGGACAATATAAGCTTGTGAATGAGGAGCCACATGAAAATATTATCAATACAACAAATATATGAGAAAAATAAAATTCATATAAGACAGTAAATTGTACATACCTTTTGTTAATCTGATATAACAGTCCAACCCTCACAATCTCCCATCCTCAAATCATGTATCGACATCCTACCACTCAATGGTGACCCCGTCTCTCCCTCAACCATGGCCCATGCTATTGGCCATATTTGGTTGTTGCCATCTTTATCAACAACACACATCAATTGATCCCACAAGCGTTCTTTAGAAAACATCCATCAAGTCCAAAAATGGTCTATAATACTTGACAAATCCCTCCTTCAAAGCACACATAGATTCTTTGCAATGTGTATGGTTGGCCTAATTCTATACCCCAACACATTAAAGCAAACATGTACTCCCCTCATTTGATGTATAAATTTTATTCACAGAGGGTTTAAGCAACTGATATTGTATTGCCATCAATTCCTCTATATCATTTAGTGCCGAGGTCCATCATCATCATCTACAAAGCTGTGACGCCCCTGGTTTAACACATGACTGCAGTTCAAGGTGAATCCAAAGATGTCAAACCTGCCATACACCCAACAATGTGCATAAACATGTTTCACTG